AAAAGAAATATACGAGACAATAGATTTTATTATAAACTATAGAAAACTATAGGAAAAATAGAATCTTAAACTTCAAAATAACCATAAGAAAAAAGTTGCATAGGTTTTTTTTCTTCTTTCTTTTCAAAATCTTTCTCTTCTTTTAGAGATATGTTTAGTAAATCTCAAAAAATTTCTTCACCACCTTACAATCACAGCTTAAAACTATAGTAAACATGTAGTTTCCACTGCGGGTAATTTTACTCTCTGAAACCACTACCTTACCACTATTAAGTGTTGCTTATTACAGCTCTTATTCACCTCCGATTATTATTGGAGAAAAATGGTAAACCTCCAATGAGTTCACCATTCAACAAAGCTGTTGGAACGACATAACATCATCAATTTTAGACACATTAGTAGAATTGTTTCGATTTTTACTCTCTTTACTATCAAAAATTTATATGTTGAATAACCTCAAATGTTCTCACAACGTCAATGTAAAATAATGGAATTTTTAAATAATTAAGTTATTATTTTTCAAAAAATAAAATAAAATGTGTTTTTTTCCAGTGTATCCAAATAAATAATATACTAAATTACTAAACTAATTTGTTTTTCAGAGTTAGCTGGGAAGATACTCACCATGTGGTAGCAAATATAACTGGTGGCTATACATTATACACAACTCCACTACCATCCAGTGGTCCATTAATTGCTTTTATGCTTAATGTGCTCAGTGAACGTTATACAGAAGACCATGATATTTACTGGCAACGTGTGATCGAAACGTTCAAGCATGCCTATGGGCAAAGGTCCAATTTGGGTGATTTACAGAACGAATCGGAAATGAGTCAGACAATAAACGAAACCTTGATTAATTTATTAAGTCACGATTTCGCTGCAGAAATTCGTTCTCTAATTTTGGATGACAAAACTTTTAATGATTATGCATACTACGGTGCGAACTTCACAGTAGAGGAAGATCATGGCACTGCAAATATGGCTGTCTTAGCGCCAAACGGTGATGCAGTAACTATAACGAGTACTGTTAATAACTAGTAAATAACTTCAAATACTAAATAATTTTATAAATTAACCGAACAATTTTTACAGTTTTGGTTCAAAAGTAGCTTCAAAACGTACTGGTATAATTTTGAATGATGAAATGGATGATTTCTCTACACCGGGCGTAATAAATAGTTTTGGTGTTCCGGCATCTCCAGCAAATTACATTAAGCCCGGTAAACGACCTATGTCATCTATGTGTCCAGCTATTGTACTGGATAAAAATGGTAATGTACGTATGCTGGTTGGTGCAGCTGGTGGCACTAAAATTACCACATCTGTCGTATCGGTAAGATAAAAATCTTAGTAAGGTTCATAACTTCACTGCTCTAATCTTACTTATATTTTTTAGGCTATTATTAAATATCTTATCTTCAATGATACATTGTCTGAAGCTATAGATGGCGGACGTATACATCATCAACTGGCACCAATGGTTATAGATACTGAATCTGAAGTACCTCAAAGTGTACAAAACTACTTAAGAAAAGTGGGCCACGACTTAAATGTTTTAGGAGCTGGAAGTGGCTTTGCTGCTGTGACAGCAATAGGCGTACGCGATGGTATACCTGAACCCTTCTATGATCACAGACGTGTGGGTAGTAAAGTGCAGTTACAAGCAAAGAATAAAATGCAACATTAGAAATAGGAACAAAACTAACTTTCTCAAAAAGTGCTTGTTTAAGTCATTGTAAACTTCTATCTCAGGACTTCTGTAATAGTAATTATTGCTATATCAATTTAAGAATAATTCTACCTTCATGTAAATATATTAAATTCTATAGTTATTTTAGTCTTTGTTATCTAATGTTTCATCTAATGTTGTTTAAAGCAGTGAGATATGTATATATTTAGTTATTATTGCAATATATAATTATTGTCACCAGATAAGATAAATAATTTATCCCAAATTGTAATATAGATAATTTAAGAGTAATTTAAAAGGCCATATAATTGCCATTTAAGCCACAAACATTCCATGATATTTAGGAGAGATAATGTGGTATATTTTATATCTACACATAAAATTTTATATATATGTACATTTAGTTATATATGTTTTATACCATAGTACCTTAAATAAATTTTTTATTATTATTTTAAAAACATTTATTTTCTTTATTAACAAATTAAATTAATTGAAATAATTGCAAGTTACTTTCAGCATTACTAGAATAGATAATTACTAGTTTATTATTTTTTTTTTCTACTAGTGCTACTTAAACTCGTTATAAAATTATTACCAGTTTTAGTTTTTTTTTTACCATTGAAAAATGCTTGTGGTGATTTGCTACATATGAGCTATATGCATATGAGCTATATGATGGTTGTATGCAATTGTGATAAAGGTATATAGATTTGAATCGTAATATTTATAATTAATAACACATTATTATCTGATTGATTAAAATAATCATTTTTATTTATTATAATTACTAAAGAAAGAAATCGAGCGATAGGTGCCAAGGCTTATAGCTGAACTATTACAATTGACTAACTTGCAGATTTTGACACATTTTTATATAATGTATTATAATAAATTATGTTTTCCTTATATTCTGGTAGGTAAAATTTGTTGAGCAAGTGTCAAGTAAGGCAATTATTAAGTATATGGTGTATGAATAATGGGCTTTTGCAAAGATGAGAATGAGAGATTGCCACTCAAAAGAAGCTTATGGGAAAGTTTTCCAAGTTCCACTCACAATCGAATAAAAATTTGACATAGTGGATGTGTGCATGATTGTAGATATATTATTTTATATGTGCTTTAACAATTTAACAGAGTCAAATAAAATACAACTAACTGATCGAGTTGACTAGTGGTGAATACTAATCAATGACAATAAATATCTAATGATAGAGCTAAAATTAATTTCTGTACATATATAAATTAAAGAGGAGTTAATAGTCTCAATGCAAGAAATATCTGCATTCTTAATGAAATCATAATATGTATTTATCTTCACATGAACCACTAATATTTTTATTCATATATATATATATTTAATTATAATACCTTATATTTCATGATACAGATAGAACCAACATAATTTATGATAATAAATTTAAACTTTTATTCAGTTTGTATTATTCAGTTCATATATATATTAAGTCATTAAAAATCGCTGCGCTTCAAATTCCCCACAGCATGTTGAGGTACGAGTGTCATTGCTTTATACGTACGTCAATATTTTAAATTATACAAATGCAACCCTGAAAAGTGCATTTTTTTTCTTGTTTTTTTTTCTTCTTTTGATAACAAAACAAACAAACAAGTCATAAACTGTTGATGCTGATAAGAAGTAAAGAACTTTGCTTTTTAATTTCAAAAAATTACTTCAGAGACCAGAAAAATTTAAAACATATCTCAAAGATGGTTAATCCTGTACTCATAGTACACGGTGGCGCTGGTGACATTAGTGATGACCGTGTTCTCGGCAAACTAAAAGGTATGAAAATTGCGCTGCGTTTAGCGATGCCTCAACTATTGAAAGAGGCAGCATCGCCTAGTACAAATGCTCTTGACGCAGTAGAAGCGGCCGTACGAGCATTGGAAGCGGATGAGAACTTCAATGCCGGTTTTGGGTCATGTCTCAATATTGAAGGTAATGTAGAACTAGAGGCGAGCATAATGGAAGGCAGTAAATTACGTGCAGGTTGCGTTACATTGCTGCATGATTTATTGCATCCAATATCGGTGGCACGATGTGTAATGGAAAAAAGTGGTCATACTTTTCTCGGTGGTGAAAGCGCACAAATATTTGCCAAAAAACATGGTTTCAATGAAGTTTTGTCGGGCACTTTGGTTACACCACAAGCACGTTTAGCGTTAGCTGAATTTAAAAAATTAAGCAAAACTGATGAAAATTTAGCAAACGCACCAACAGAATTACCCGTAGTCAATGAGTTGAATACATTTGGAGAGCCTGGCACAGTAGGTGCTGTTGCGATTGATAGCGAAGGAAATATAGCAGCAGCCACGTCGACTGGTGGAATTACAGGTAAAGTAGCGGGACGTATTGGTGATACACCGCTATTGGGTTGTGGTACATATGCCGATAGTTTATATGGAGGTGTTTCAACAACTGGCTACGGTGAAGCTATAATGCGTTTTAATTTAGCTCAAAGAATCATACAGAAAATAGAATTACAAGGGAAGAGCGCACAGGAAGCTACATCAGAAGTGTTAAGCGATATGAAAAAGCGAGTACTTGGTGGCTGTGGAGCTATTACTATCGATGCTAAAGGTAATGTTGGCATAGATTGGAATTCAAAGCGCATGGGTTGGGCGTATGTGCGCGACGGTAGTATGCATTATGGAATTAATCATGGTGAAGTTCTTACAGAGCCATTCATTTAAGTATGAATTTAAATATTATTTAGATATTTTAAGTTTTTATATCAACATTTTTTGTATAAAGTATAAAGCAAAGTATATCTTTTGATAAAAAAAACATTAACAAAAATGTAATATTTACATGTAAAATTTGAAAATGACAATAAAGCAAGTATTTTATTTACGATATAAGAGTTACTATATTACTACACTATAATATATTATTATTATTTAAAATTGTACTATATTCAGCCTTGGTATTATTACTTAGTCTTCCTTAAAACAACTACAGTGCCGTACTTAACTGAAGTATGACAGTGAGACCAATGCTTAGGATCACTTTAACAGTTACGCTAAGTAATTCTTAAATGTTCGATCTAGGACATTAAAAAATCACTCAGAATTTAAATAAATATCATTTTTGTGACAACGGCATCGTAGCGTACGTTACGTGTCTGTTTTGTAAGACGGATTACCACTGGTATTTACATTACACATCGTGCTATTGTATATATGATATTGTGTGAACTAAAAAGTAGAAAATTTTTTAATTTACATATATATGAATAATAAAATAAAAATGGTTTTATACTCTAAATAAATGCGTTTAGAAATATATAGGGAAAATAGTTGTTAAACTGCACAAATCCATTATCCTTAGCGTCGTATTCTATTAATTGGCAAGCAGATTTAATCACAGAACTAGATGAAGATATTTGTACAAATATGATAATTTTAAATTTTATTCGTATTATTATTTTTATATATTTTATGTTTATTTTGGTGTTAAATTTGTATTTATTTATTTTCTTTATTCATTGCAATGTTGCCATATTAAAAATTTTGTGCAAATATTTGGAAAATGAGAAACAAAGAGTACTACCAAATAAAATTGCAACTTATAAAATAATCACTTAATACGAAAATATTTTAATTAAAACACTAGTTATTACTCACAAAAAGTTGCAATTTAAACAAATAATTGTACATATTTGTTGCGATTCATAATCACTTTCACAGGGTGAAAAAGTAAGAGAACTTAACAATATGGTTTGTAACTTGGACATATGGCAAAAAATGTTTTAGCGCCATCTGTTGTTTAAAGTTGTACATATTTTCGAAATAATGAACAGTTTTTGTTTGTGCTTTATGATTTTAATATAGATTTAATTAAAAAAATAATGTTAGCTCTAAATAAAATGATAAAATTATTGTATAATAATTGTAATATTAATAATAATTATTAATGATAATAAAAATAATGTAAATAAATAATATCTAAAAAAAATCTTAATTAATTGAGCTTTATAAAGATATTTCTTCATTTAATATATTTCGAAAAAAATAATTTATAATTATCTCTTTTATCTAACAGAATTTCTTTTCGAAAGGATATTGATGTTATTTCACTGAAAATATTTATTAATACTTTATTAATATTTTGACATTTCTTTTTTTCAGGTAAGATGCATTTTTTAGCTATATATGCTATATGTTTATTGTAGAATCTGTGTCCAGGCTCTCACTCCAGTTCTGATTTCTAAGGTCTCCAGATTACGTTTCGCTTAATTTCAATTTGCGTCTAGGTCTTATTTCGTTTCCAGAGCACATATTCGATGAATGTCATGATTTTGTTCTAATTATTCGATCATACCTTCATTCGGTCACTCCAATGATATTCTCGACAGTGAAGTCCCATATTTTCCCTTCTAGTGAAGTTCTCCATGCCATCAGTCACAGTTGAATAATTAATGTTCAGCATTTTCTCCGCCGGTTTGGCAGAGATTGCACTGCTTTTTTCATTCCGTAAATATTTCCAAAAATATCTGTGATCAGATGACAACTGTGTGACATAGTAATCAATCAAATGTGAAATCGGAGATCCATCGTTGTTGCAAAGTTAGGAAGGCTTCTTCTTTCATATGTTGATGTCGGTTGAATTATTTGCTGATCTCTGCTCGCAGCGTTACCTCCATTCATAGATCTGTAGATCAAAAGGAATGACACCACTGATCATAAGAACAGGATCAGTGGATCACAAGAATTATAAATAAACATGAATAATCGTAGGAGACCATACAGTTAAAGAATACAAAAAATAGTTCCATAAGCAAAGAATTTATAAATTATATTTATACTTATATTTAATTAGGTATCAACAGTGATAAAAAATGGGTAATTACGCCTTTGTAATGAATTTAGTCTCTACTCTTCTATACTAGGGTTCTTGTGAGGAATGTGGTACCGAAACGGCGAAAAATAGCTAATTGATGTACATGCCAACCAACGCCTTTATGAAAAAAGTTGGTCAGCGATCGTGTAAGAGAGCACCTGCCTGCTCCGAGTGGCAACATGAACATTAGTTCATTCCATTGATGTGTGCATGTGATGTAAGTTACAGTCTTTCTTCCTATGACAGACTGAGATATTTTGAATGATGAATAACATATGAATAGTGGAATGGATCTTCCAATATTTGTTGGCGAACCACTTTTATAATCCAAACTCGAGTAGATTTTTACTAAAATCATAAGCAACCTTCATAATATTGAAAAGCCATTATAGAGGGGTTGCCTTTGGAGTCCTTAAAATGATTCTTATCATAAAGTAAAATATATAAAGATATGTAAGATATATAAATAGTTGTTTTCAGTTGTTTATTAATTTTCTATTAATGGATTTTGCAACAATTTGGTCTTCGGAAGTTTACAAAGTGTAAGACTATATAGTCGATAGTCTATATTTAGAAATAAAATTAGAACATTTTATTAATTTTGAATCGATAAATATTGTGTAAATCACTTATCACTCAACGTCCACCTGAGATAACTTTCTGATGTTGTGCGTATTTTAATTTCTTACAAAATCGTCAAGTATCAAAATCGTATCAAGTATTTAATGAGATTTATTTGGGCAGATAAATTTATTTTGCTTGGTTGTCTTTGAGATTAATTGAAAATGTAGAATGCAAAATGTTTCTTCAATTCAAATGCCAAAGGAATGAATGATTTCCCCAAATTCTTTTATGGAGGTCAAATCGCATAAAAATAAAAATCTCAATTCAATCGAAAAACAATTGAGATGAATTTATCACAGCAATGATTTGATTCGAGCAAATCGCATGTTTCGGTGCCTATTTTTAAAAGATCTACATATGTACAGTAATCTCCCCTACAACTCGGTAGATTGGTTCCGCGTTTTAGGGTATTCGCTTATACCCCGTATACATACGTGCAGAGGTACGCGAAGCTAATTATGAGCTGTACAAGTCCTCGCATTATATGGGGTAATGTCCGTGTAATACGGGGGATTGAAATCGCGTAATATGAAAACGTGTTATAAGGGTACCGCGTTATAGGAGGGACTACTGTATATATTTACTGTTTCATTTAATTTAACTATGTTAAGAATTGAAAAATTAAAAACTAATGAAAAACGTAAGATAGATTTTCATTCATTTGTTGTGATAAGTAACAGATAAATTGCAAGGATACGGATGTTTTTCGGTACCCTTTTTACAGAAATTATATAAAACTAAGTTTTTTTTTCCAATTATTTAAATGGTTATTGTCTATAGTATATTAAATGCTCAAATGATTATTGCTATTGCCTTTTAATGTTTGAACTGTGACGTTGAACTTGATATTTGACACTTTCGCAACTCCAGTCTTATACGATAATAACTATAATTCGAATCCGATTCAATCGTGTAAACAATTGGTGAGGCTGAACTCGCAAAAGAAGCAATCCACTTCATCTATTATTAAGTATTTTACAAGCGTACCGTGGCGCGCTTGTACATTGAATATTTTCCGGTTGAAACGTCCATAAGGCATATGAGCAACATAATTTCTGCATGATTTTTATCGATTCACTCGATACTACTATACGTATTACTAGTGTAGCTCAGCTATAGATAATGTGTAGTTGGGGAAATATGTTTAATTTTGCGGAAGCAAATCATAATAGCGCGTGCGCCAGAAAATTAATTACATTACAAACTGGCGTTGAATAATAAACATAATCGCAAGAGACTGGAAGATTAAGACTACGAAGATTACTTGGAACTTAAATGTATGAATTGAGGCTATTTAAGTAAAATATGTAAATTGGTAATGATTAAATTGAATAGAGACATAAGATTGGCATGTTATGGTTAGTATAAATTTAAGATTTATTACAACTCTTGTAAAAAATCTTGAAGACAAATAATTGTTTATTTCTTACAAATTCGCTGAATGAAATCTGAGATTAATAAATAAATTGTACTAAAGGCGATCTATGAAAAAGATCAGTTTCGTACCTTACTATTTATATATTTAATCATTCAAACTTTAAGCAAGTAATACTTGCATATAATTTACCAGTATCCAATAGGAAGCTACCCGAAAAATGTCAAGGGATCATAAATAATAATGACTCATTAATAATGGATCATTAAAATTGATTTCCTTAAAATTCGTTTTTAGGCGCAAGCATTTACTCCATTTATCCCTTTATATTATCCGCATGTATTTATATAAATTTATAATATAATAACTAAATATGCGTGATATGATTGGAAGTACAATCAATCATAAACAAGGAATGAAAGACATCACAGAGAACAACTATTTTGATTTGTTGGTAGACACAAGCATTCACAAAATTCGGAATTTATTCGTTCGGTTGTTATTCGCAGAATAGTAATGAGCCTGTTCTTAAATTTTTAAAAGTCAAAAATAGAAATATAACATGCTTAGGAAATCAAAACTTTGCAATATAATATAACCTATACAATCATACCTATAAGTATCCTATGTTACTTGTCTAGTATTATTGAAACTAGTCGTTATCATCTAAGCACCACACTTACGATTGTAGCATTGCTTCTTTTGTCCTAACTGTTAAGGATTATAAAAAATCAACTGGAAATGTCTTCCACAATCATATATTTTTTATATGTAATTTGCAAACTTTTTTTTAAATTAGTTAAATAAAATCGTACAGATTTAACTAGATAAATTATGGTTTATGGGTTTAAAATTGTACTGCAACACGCACTTTTCTCTTAAATGACTCAAGTCAGTGCAAACTTTATTAGAAACGCATCGTTGTCTCCGCAGTTTCCAGTCTACACAATTACTTTAATGACATAAAATTAAGGCAATCAGCACATAAACATTTAAAGAAAAGTAC